ATCATTTTTGATATTGCTTTTCTCCATAACTATAACAATTCGATTATAATCATCAAAGCGCAGAGATATAATCTGATAACATTTAATTACTACAAAATTACAAAATATTTAGACAATGATTCATAAACATATCATAAATAAGATCAACATTAATAAAATAAATGGGTTTTTTTTACAGGACGGGTTTGGCAGGATGTTACTTAATAACATTTATAAACTATAAAATAAAATTATTTTATAGATAGATACAATTTGTAAACTTTTATATATACTAACTTTAAAAAATAAATTATTTCCGCGGTATACCGCGGGTTAAAATCTAGTTTTAAGTACACTTTCATAGCAATTATTATGGTTTAGTTTCAAAATAATATCAAATGAATTGGAAAAATATATGTTCACTGTCGTACTTATTTTTATTAGTATGCGCAACAAATTCTAAACCTTGGGTCTTGATTGTAGCGGTGGTACATCCGTTTGCAGAGCACATCGGATATACGTTAATCTTGGGGCTACCTCTAATAACGACTTTTATGTGTGGAACGGTCTCGGTAGTCTCCATTGCCTTATACCTAACTTACATAGATTTTATGAACAATATGGGTCACTGCAACTTTGAGCTCATTCCGAAATTTTTATTCTCTCTTTTACCTCCACTCAAGTTCCTCTGCTACACTCCCTCGTAAGTACTTAAATCCACTAGAATAGTAATTATACTATTACCACGATTCCTTTGAACGCGTTTAAATTTCTGTGTTGTAATACTATTTTCACATTTTTATAAAATAATGTTCTAAAGATATAGTTTTGTAAATTTTAAATTGGTAATCGTAAACAAGCGTTTGACTTTTGCGTTTACAATATACAAATGAATGTCAACGAAAACATTAGAAGTTTTGGTTACAAAACATAAAAGCATTGTGACTAAATATATATGATAATTGTAGGTTTCATTCGCTCCACCATACGCAATTCAGGACGAACTACTCTCTATTCATGCCAATGTACGACTACATCTATGGCACCACCGACGAGTGCAGTGACTCATTATACGAAACATCGTTGGAGAAAGAAGAAGAGAAGCCTGACGCGATTCATCTTACTCATCTAACATCACTCGACTCTATTTACCATCTCCGGCTTGGCTTTGCTTCCCTCTCCTCTCACCCGCTCTCTTCCCGGTGTTACCTATTTCTCATGAAGCCCTTCGCTCTTATCCTCTCCTTCATTCTCAGGTCCTTCTCTTTTCAAACCTTTGTCGTCGAGAGAAACCGCTTCCGTGATCTCACACTTCACTCCCACCTTCTTCCCAAGTTCTCCTCTCATGTATTTCTCTTTTCTCTTTCTCTAGTCTTTAAACATCTAACAATTTCACGTCTAGTAGTAACAAGTTTTGTTTGGCTATCAACAGTACATGTCGCACCAGCAGAAAGAATGTATCAACAAAATGATAGAGGCGGCTATTCTTGAAGCGGATAAGAAGGGTGTGAAAGTAATGAGTTTGGGACTATTGAACCAGGCATGCAATTAATACATTAATTGGTTATTCTTATGTTTTTGCAAGTTTTGACGAGAAAAATGCTTTATATAATAAACCCTAATATAATTATTAATATCCTCAGGGTGAAGAATTAAATGGGTATGGAGAAATGTACGTAAGGAGGCATCCAAAGCTAAAGATAAGGATAGTGGACGGAGGCAGTCTTGCAGCTGAGGTGGTGCTTCATAGCATTCCTGTTGGGACCAAAGAGGTTCTCTTTAGAGGCCAAATCACAAAAGTTGCTCGTGCCATTGTCTTTTCTCTTTGCCAAAATGCCATCAAGGTACCTTCTTTTTCTACAAATGGAGAGAGTGAAACAAAAGGATTCAATTTGGATGGACCGTTTTTATAAAAAAGAAAATATAAATATATGTTAATTCTTCTCTAGCTAGTGTCAATATACAAAGCCAATTTGCGCGTGAAAATAGGATCGAACGTAAATAGAGTCAATGGAGTTTCCATATATAAACGTTACGCCACTAACTATCTACAGTCACGTGGCCTACTTTTTAAGTCCAAAACAATTTTGGCATATCATTTTATGATTTGGTTTGAGCTTGCGAAAGATATACATATTAAAACATTTTAATGATAAATTCATATTTCAGAGAAATTATAATCGGTTTTCATGCTCAATAAATTAAAATAAATAGGTAATGGTGTTGCGCAAGGAAGAGCATTCCATGCTCGCCGAATTCTTGGACGATAAGTGTAAGGAAAATCTTGTGCTCACAACCAATTACTATCCAATGGTATGCGTAAACGACATTAAATTGATAGTAACATATTCAAGTTTACATACAAATTAATATGTAACGGTACGATGTAGATTTGGTTGGTGGGAGATGGGCTAAGCACAAAAGAGCAGAAGATGGCAAAAGATGGAACTCTATTTCTTCCTTTCTCTCAATTTCCTCCTAAAACACTACGAAAAGACTGCTTTTACCACACCACTCCGGCTATGATTATCCCTCACTCTGCCCAAAACATTGATTCTTGTGAGGTATGTATACAACAATTCCAGTAAAATAGTCTTTATAGTTTCTTTGCGTTAGCGTTTAGGTTTACTATATTTTTTCTAATCTTTACCTAATACACTTAAAACATTTTAACCATGCTCTACACGTAAATTTCAAACATGCACAAACAGAACATATATTTATGGTGTCAAGTGTTTGTATTTGATGAAGATAGGTTATAATTTGTACTTAACACATGTATGTCTATAGAATTGGCTGGGGAGGAGAGTGATGAGCGCATGGAGAGTTGGTGGGATAGTACACGCGCTTGAAGGGTGGAAGGAACACGAGTGCGGTCTCGACGACAATTCAATCATTAATCCTCCTAGAGTTTGGGAAGCTGCTCTTCGAAATGGTTTCCAACCTCTACTTCTGCCATCTTTAGAGACCTAACGGGTTCAACAATTTGTAATGGATTTGGATTTGAAAAAATACAAAATCTCAAATCTTTGGGTAAACAGTGTTATTTCAAAATCCACATGTTAAAGGACTCTTTAGTGTTAAAACTTACAGTTTTCATGGACATCTTTTGGAAAAACAAGCTCAATTACATTGACTCCCAATGAATCATGCTTTAAACTTAAAGCGGATGGCAATGACAATTACAACAACAAACTAACTCAAGAATTGAGGCTAACTCTCAGATCACTCTATTATGATCTTCGTAGCAGCAAAATCAATGGTGATGGTTCACTCCCCAATT